AGTTGTGGTACAATAGTACAGCCAGTCTTCACCTTACAGACTATTCATACCTAACTTATTTGAGAACATCTAAATCTGTTTTGCAGAACAGGAAAGCAAACAAAAATTGTGTGTGCAACTGAATTTGTAACATGTTACAGATGAATAAAGAAAGTGAGGCTGAATGAAGAAAGTGATTCTAATGATTCCAAAATATCTGGAAATGCCTGACAACTGTACTTTTCCTAAGTTCTTATTACATTTACCTTAAATGTTTATTCAGCTGTGTTTTACGGTTAATAGAGAAAGTCAATTTCCATTCAGTATGATATGTGATACGTACTGAGCTGATGTAAGAATTGTATTATACTAACCTAACAGATTTCAGGCCAATTTCTTCTCATACTCAATGTGATAGTCAGCTTATGTAAGTTAGTAATACCTAAATTCAATATGAGAGATATCTGTGGCTTACTGTGTTTTCTACTATTAATTTGTGAAAGAAAAACAGCTTTTACTTTCTGTTCCATTAGGTGGTGCTGCAGGGGTGGTGTCTAGGATCACTGGTTCTGTTGGGAAAGGTTTAGCAGCCATTACTATGGATAAGGAATATCAGCAAAAACGGAGAGAGGAAATGGGTCGTCAGCCAAGGGACTTCAGCGGCAGCCTGGCTAAGGGAGGAAAAGGCTTTTTACGGGTATGAACTGGAGGTTGAGTATATGATGCATCAGCTCTTAATATATACTTCCATTTATATGATTTTTATAATGTCGTCTTTGGCTTTATATTAAACATGAACTGAACAGAAGACAAAAATAGGAAGTCCAAAACCAGGTTATAGTAGACTCAATATCACTTGTTAGCTTTAGTGTTTGAGGTTATGTTCTTTCGGCCAACACAAGGAAATGAAGATAAGATCTTGAAAAGGGTTATTGTAAGAAATAACACAAATTTTTCCTCTGAAGTAACTGGGCCCTTTATATTTTCTTCCAGTTAATTCTGTCATTAAAACAGGCTGTGAATTTGAACTCTGGACTTGTTCTATATAGAAATGGCTTTCTATATGCTGAGGTCATACTTGCTCATACTTGAGTTTTTTCATTTATTTGCACATTCTTCTAAGTCAAGTTGAATGTGTATTGAAGTGTGAGTATCATGTTAGGTGAAAGATTTTTTTTCTGGAATAGAAACTGCTGTAGTGTCATCTGATCTTTACTGTGTGAAGTCAGGAAACCTTTTCTGGTTGAAGAAAGAATGTGCCTGTTTCCTGTTAAGTGTTTAAAAAAAAAAACAAAACAAAAAACAAAAAACCATGTAAACAATTTCAGAGAGATTTCTATTACATGAAAGTAAATAAGATTTCAATAAATTCTATGACTTGCCATTCTAATTTATCAACTTATTTCTGAAGAATTACAAGTAATAAGCATTGTGTCAATTTCTGATTGAGTTTGCTGAAAGTTTAGAAGTTACCACACTGGAATTTTTTTTACCTTTGTGTCATTTAATGCCTCGACTTTAAAATCTTTCTCAGTTATTTGATGTTATCTTAGATGTTTGGTACTACTCACTCATGACTGAAAATTCTGACAGCTTTCTGAAGAGCTTTGTTAGAAAGAAGCTGTCTTAATTATTCTGACAGACTACTCTACAAAGGATTTCTTTGTCTTTGCTACCAAATAAATGTTACTTGCGCCGTTTCCCTCTTTTACTTTCTATTTTACAGTAAAAATAAAATATTGATATTGAATTTCATTATCTACTTTTAAAATTGAAGATGAGATTCTGATTGCCAAGCTGGACAATAGCATTCTAGCTTCTAAGTAGGGACTTTAATTATTTTCTTTGTTCTAGGGTGTTGTTGGGGGTGTGACAGGAATAATTACTAAACCTGTGGAAGGTAAGTTCTTAGCCTGCATGGCACCACTTAAAGATTTTTTATTATTAAGATTAATATAGATTTTTTAATTTTAAGAAATTTCTGTCATGATGCTAAAGCGTAAGAAGATTATACTTCTATTTCAAATGCAACCTTCTGAAATGTTTTACTCAGATACATTTACAACTATTATTTGCTACTGTATGAATTAGGGAGGGATTGTCTTTGCAGTGTATTATGTTAGGCTTGCTGTAGTAACCAGATTGTTCTTTAAAGCTAGAATAAATATACTAACTAACAATGATTCTGTAAAAAAACGTTACTTAAATACCAGTTGAAAAAGCTTCAGAAGTTATGATATAAGGGCATAGCTTCAGTGATTGGACTTATTAAGTCAAGTTGATGGTTGAACTTAACCTTGAAGGTCTTTTTCAAGGTAGACGGTTCTATGATTCTGTCCTGAGATTTTGACATTTTATATCTTACACTACTTGTGGCACGTTCATATCACATGTTAATAGATTTTTGATACTGCAGAAATAATGAACAATTGAAGTAATATGTTTATTGGAGATGACAGATGACTTATTACTGCATTTTAATTTTGGGGGGACTTCCAATGTTCGGGAAATCTTAATAAATAAATCTGATTTGGTACCCAAGAACAGTTTTCATGAAGGCTGTCACTTCATCAGTGTGGTAGATGATGCTGAACATCTAAGAGAAATATATTTTACATTGAAGTTCACATCCAAGTGATTTAAATATTAGCAAGTTGTTATTGTGCAGTATATCACCTGTGCCTCATATGTGTTTGGCAGATAATTTGAGGTGTATTCCTTTCAGTAGTGGATGAACAGATGTGCTTTCTAAACACTCAGCTGGTTCTTCTATTTTAAGAATCACCAAAAGCGTTTAGAGAGAAATAATTAACTTCAGTCTGTATATGCAGCTTAGATAATTCTGATTATTTTGTTGTTATTGACTTACAAAGACTGGTACATTAGCTTGAAGACTTGACTGAATATGTGAGGAGCAGAATCTAGTTTGGCTGATGTGTTGGACTCAAAGAGTTAGAATAAATAAAGCTACATTAGACTGGAGACCTCTGGGCTTCCCCATGGCTTCGTTTTAGGGTCAGTTCTCTTTGATGTTTTTATAAATGTTCTGGGTGCAGGATTCAAATGCATGCTACGTTAGGAGCCTTACAGGGAGACAAACTGAAGTCTTGACAAGCTGGAGGACTGGACAATCATCAACCACAGTTTAACAAGAGCAGTGCTGGATTATAAACTGGGATATGGCAATCCCAAATATACATACAGACTAGGGGTGAGAGGCTGGAGAGCAGCCCTGTGAAAATCTGGGTGTTCAGGCTGATAGCAAGTTGAACATGAGTCAGCAGTGTGCCCTCGGGTGCACAGCACTGCCAGCTGAGTGAGGGCAGGGGTTGTCCCACACTGCTATGTACTGCCTGGGCTCACTTTTCAAGTACAGTGTGCAAGTTTGGGCACCACAATGAAAGAAGGACATGAAGCTTAATAGTTTAAGAGCATCCAAATGAGGGCTACAAAGATGGTGAAGGCCTGAAGGACCACACGTATGAGGAGAGGCTTAGTTTTGTTCACTGCAAACTGGTGGAGGCCTGTGGTGGCTACAGCTCCTCACAGGGAGTGGAGGGCAGCACTGAGCTCTGATCTGTGATAACAGGGCCTGAGGGAACGGCATGGAGCTGTATCAGGAGTGGGGCAGCTGGGGGTTAGGGAGAAGTTTTTCAGTTGAGGGTGGGTCATGGAATGGGCTGTCCCAGGCAGTGGGCATGGCCCCGAGCTGCTGGAACTCAAGCATGCTGCTCTTAGACGTAGGGTTTGGATTTGGGGTAGTTCTCTGTGGAGCCAGGAGGTGGACTTGGCCTATGGGTCCTTACTGACCTTATTTGTGTTGGCTTTGAAGGCAGCTAAAGCTTTAAATGAACAACTACATTACTGAATGGGAAATCTGTGACTTTTGTGGAGAGCTGAGTAACTGGATGGTACATAATCGGTTCCTGTGGGCTCTACTTACACAATGATATTTGGAGCAATAGTGGTTTAATTCTGTGACTTCTATCTTCTGGCAGATCATTAAAACTATCATTTTTTTTCCCCATCTTTCTTCTGAAGGGGCTAAAAAAGAAGGCGCAGCTGGATTCTTTAAAGGAATTGGAAAGGGACTTGTAGGAGTGGTTGCCCGCCCAACAGGTGGCATTGTAGATATGGCAAGCAGTACCTTCCAGGGAATTCAGAGGTAAAAAGTCAAGAGGATATTTTCACATGGTCTCTGTATTTTGCACACCACGTAGTGAAATGATCCAGTAGTGACACTAAATCATTTGTGTTATGTACAATATTTGGTAGGATGTATAGGACCAAGAGACACCTAGCAGTCTCTAATGAATTTGTGTTATACTGATATCAGGAAAGTGTTTAGAATTTGTCTTGCAGTATTGCAGGTCACGCAGACAATAACTATCTCATTTTCTCATTTCAGTCACTTCCCTTATGAAAAAGTAATTAAAGAATCTTATTTAAATTTCCCTTCTGTGGTATATTTATGTGCTGCTGAATGCAAATGTTTAAATGACATTTAAACTTACTGTAAAAATTGACCGTTACCAGTTTGAAACTCAGCAATGGGGTTTTGTGTATTTTAAGGGAAGCTTATGAAAATGTTAATCAACTTGAATTCTTGATTCTTGCCAGGGCATGGGAGTAAGCTTTTCTAAGTTATGTTGTAGTTGGCTAATTCTCTAATGTTTTTTTTATATATATTACTGGCAGTGTGTCTTTTTTATTTACACCTCTAGGACAGTTGTCAAGTTTAAGTGAGATAGTAAATAAGATGACTATTAGACATAAATTCGTCAAACTCAAATGTGTAATGAGCTAATGAGAATACTGTTCCACCATCTCTAACAGGGTGGCAGAATCAACAGAAGAAGTACCTAATCTCCGCCCTCCACGTTTCATTCATGAAGATGGCATTATCCGGCCATACGATAGGGTGGAAGCCGAGGGTTATGATTTATTTGAGGTATGACTTACATTGTAAATGCACTTCTAAGTTCTCTGACCTACAGGATTCTTTAAAGGATGATAAAAATTCTGGAGAAAAAAAAAATACAAACAAAAGCATTGCTCTGAAGGGAGATAGGATTAAGAATAGTTTGAAGAGAAAAAGTTTTGGCACTCAGATGAAATATTTTGCTGAAAAAAACAGAACTTAATGCTACTAAGTCATCTTCACAAAGAAAGCAACTCTTACATAGGGTGAATAGAGCTTGATTTGCTTAATTTATTTTCTGTTTAATACAATTACTGTGATTCCTGATTGTATTAGCAATGGAGAAAACTATGATTTCTGAGAATACCACCTTTTGGTATTTATTATATTATTGTTAGTGTGTCATAACTACAAGCATTCTGTGAACATCTAGGCTGCTTTTACATGTGGATATGGCTAACATACAGGGAATTAGTAACAGTTGTTTTCAAGGTCTAAATAATCAGTCTAGTTGAAGTGTATTTCAACTTTCTTAAAAAATTAAAATGTTTTTTTGCTAAAAATTAGAGTAAAATAACTTCCCTGATGGACACTTGAAAAGTAGAATTTGCTAAGTTAGTACTTCCTTCTTAATGTTCAGTTCTAGTCCTTATTTCCTAGCCTATTTCTAATGTTTTTCTTCTTTCTCTTTCTCTCCTGGCATACGCAGCAAGAACTGGAATAAAGGAGTAAACGTTTTCCATATTTCTTCTTGATTTCCTTTGTGATCTTTTATCAACCTTATTTATTTTAGGTTAAGGGCATGATTGCATTTAACATGTCCTCTCCCCACTTTACATGTCTTCTCTTTGTAGTAGATAGTGTTTCATGTTGTCCATGCTAAGAAACCAAACTAAAAATGAACTTGAATATCTAAAGTAAGACTAGCTAAGTGAGAAAGATGACAGAAAAGGGAGCGCTTTTTTCTTTTATGTCTTTTTTCTGAGACTGCTTAGCTCCTTATGAATGGCAGCTACTGAGGGCACCTGAGTGGAGGGGAAAAAAAAAATCATGGTAGCATAGATGCTGAGTACACTTGGTTGTTAATATTACCATTCTCATAGAGCTAGGGCTATGGATGAAGGGAGTAACATGAGCACAAAATCTAAAATAGTATTGAAGAGAAAATTCTTCTGTGAAAATATTTGCTTATTTCATAATTGTAGGGAAATACTGTTTCCATAAAAACTTCAAGAAAACTGTGTCTTTCTTCTGTAATATGCTATAGGCCAACCACTTAGATGTTTGAAAACCCCTGTGCCTTTTCTACTACTACTACTCTATGAAATTCTATCAATTAGAAGTATTATAACCAGTTTATTGACTCTGGTTTCATTCACAGAATCTTCTGAGTCCTTTCTGTTTAACATAATTGTCAACTATTAACATGAATTGATAATTAAATTTATTTCTACAGGAAGTGATGCCATAAATTTCATTTCTAACACAACACTGTAAATTAACAAACAAAGCTGAACAAGATGTCATAGGAGCAAAGTACTTTCATATAGTAAATGAATAAAACTTCAAGCAGATGCATCTCTGCTGCTAATACCTTTCTAGAATTTAGAGTTCAATAGTCAATATTTTTCATTTAAGTTGATTAAAGAAAGGAAATGTAATAGAGATTTTTTAATTTTAGCTATTTTAGAGAAATTATCATTATTATGTATGGAGCGAAACAGATTTGTTTCATGCAGTGATTTCTTTTAATTTAACTATTATTATTTTTAGATCATGCTGAAGATATTTTTCAGTAATCCTGTGCATTCTCACTGGTTTCACTACTTGCTCCATCTGTCAAAAAGGAGAATGTAGTGTAATCAGCACTGAAAACTAGATGTTCTGCATTTCTTGCGCATCTAATATTTGTATCTTTCTTAGCCCTAAATTGTTTTGATCAGAACTGTGTACTAAACAAGAACAAGCCTGTGCATAGTCCTCTAGATAGTCTCTTCCTTTTGGAAGCCAATTAATTGAACACAGCTTTTAATTTATTTACATACGTATTTGGAAAGTTATCTTAGTGTAAATTCCAAGCAAGATGGGCAGTGTCTTACAGGAAATAAGATACTTCAGCAGGGAAAGCAAATCGGGAGGTCAGTTTATACAGACAAATTTATTTGCCATTAGTTAGTTTGCGTTAGTTCAATTTATTTTTGGTTCCAGTTCTGACCCAAGATCACAAGTAGCTCAACCTGGATTTTCTCCTTATCATCATCTCATGAACTGTATTTCCCCCCTCCCCTCTGTAAGTAGTTGAAGAATAAAATTTATTCAGAACTGGAGAACTGTAATATGTAAATGTGTTTTGGATTCTTAATTCCTGTATTCTCTTGCATGCCTGGCTTCTTGATGCTTTCTATCTGCCATACAAACATTGACCCAGAAATTATTCTCCTGCCTATGCAGTTGAAATTATTTCAAATTCCATTCTTACCTTCACCAAATAATTCTGTATCTTGCCTTGATTGTATCATCCCTGATTCTGCCACTGACTTTTACCTTATTAAATTGAGTAACTAATTCAAATGAATTTGAGAAAGTTCTGCTGCTTGCCTGTTGCTTTAGCCATGTTAATGGCACAGCTCAGATTCATATACAGAGTTCATTGTTTGTATCAAAATATAAGTGACTTTCCTTGGTTGATTTAAAAACCTCATGTTTCAATATGCTTTCTTTTCGAGCCATGGTACTTCTATGCATCTTATGTCATTAACTCCTTTTCCATGCGAAAAACTTAACAGTCTTATTACTCTGACTTAATTCCTCTTCAGAAGAGCTGTGCAAAATACTTTTCTAGTTCACTTGCTTTGACTTTTTTAATTTAATATGTATATTCTTTTAAAATAAATATGTATATCCAAGGTTGAAACCTTGTCATATTACCTTAAGGAATGGATGCCTTAAAAATATCCAGTGATTGGATAAAAGATGTTTTACATAAAAATGTGGGTGTTCCTAAATGTTAGAGCTGTATTTAGGGTGAGCATACTTGTAGGTCATGTCTTAAAAGGCAAATTTGTTGCTCTTGTTTTTCCTCTCAGAAGGGCATCTTTTTTTTTTTTTTTTTTTTGAGTGCACAGTGAGAAGAGCAGTGGGATGGAGGCTCGTTGATTACAATGTTCATTTTTCCAGAGATGCTGGATGTATTCTTTGGGCTACACAGGGTTCCAGTCAGATGTGGTATCTTGCAGGGCATGTCTCTAGCTCATGCAGTGAGGCTTAGTAGTAAAGAATATGTCATGTGAAATATATGTACAGCAGGAGAAAACAAAGAAAAGAATACAGCACCTTCAGGAGAATTGTTTCTTGAGTAATGAGTTTTCTCATGAGCTTTATCTTCATGCAAGGCTGTGTTAGTTGTTGCCTTTTAATGTGTGGGCATTACTGCCTGTTCTGATGAGGAGACTCCCATCTATACCCAGCACTTAAGGTCTGGCAGGATGTGATATGTTCTTATTCCTGTTTATAGTGCTACTTTGCCTCATTTCCTAGTTAACACATGGAGCTTTATTAAGAATACAGAATACTTGAGGAATAATTAGGTGATGCTACTGTTTTGCAGTAAGAAAAACATTGTCTTTCAAGAAACTGCAGATTAAATATCCAGTTGAGTTTCAGTTCTGCTGTGTATATGTGCATTACTTCTTTCATTTCCATGTAAAATAACAGCACTTGAACTTCTTAAAAATGCTGTAGTAGTCTCATCAAAATAAAAGCTTCTGATAAAGATGCCTGAATATGAACAGTGTATGCAGATCACAAAATAATTTGCATCAAGTGTCCCAAACCCCTTTTTACATAATGCACAATTGTAATGCATTGAATTTGTATCAGGAGTGTTGGTCTGACAGCTCTGACAAATACTGCATCTCTTAGGCTGAGAGCTCCACAGAAGCTCTTGTCTTAGTATCCAAAACATAATACCAGGATAGTTTTTGAAGTTGGGGTTACAAAACCAGACTTTCTCACCAAAGTTTGGAGTTTAAACAGAGGAATAAGCTTATGAATGAATCTGTTTAAAAGTGCAGTACATCTCACTTTTTACATATCCAACAAAGATTCAGAATGAGTTGCAACTTCTGAATTGTGGTCTTGCATAGTGGTGTGTTTTGCTTTTCATTTCTTGTATTTAAATTTATATATTTAGTTTTATGTAACGGAATCAACTATGGTTTGGGTATAAAATGTGAGTTCATATGGTTTTAGTCATTTCCTGCTGTCTTTCTATGTTTTGAAGAAATGCAAAGAGTGAGATGAGCAGTCTTTTGTGGCGTGCTTTTCTCTTTCATGTCTATTTTACAATATCAAAGTTCTAAGATAGCCAGAAATTGATTATATAAGTGTGTATTATAGAAGATGGGGACCCTATATTTTTGGTTGGTTCAAAAAAAAATAAAAATATATATATATTTTAATATCACATCCCTTGGGAGCAACTCCAGGAAAACACTATGCCATTGATTTCATTTACTGCACATTTATTGTCGTTGGATCTTTAAAGAGTTTTCCTGAGATCTCTTCAAATGTATAATGATGCTTTAAGACATTTGTTAAGCTTTAAATAAATGAGAATAAAATGCAAACTTTGAGATTTGTTTCAATTGATTCTGAAGTAGGCTGGAATGACAGCTTTCTTTGTGGTTACTTGATCTGTATTGAGCTTTTAGCCTCCGTGCTTGACCATAGACACATGAACATGGAGTCAAGCCGTAGAGTCAGCTATGAGGAGGTCGTTTATTTACAGGGACTAACTAAAACTGTATTGGGTGGTGGTGGTTGTTCTTCTTTCCTCCTTCTTTTCCAGAGTGCTCTTTCTAGTTCATCAATTAAATTCAAATTTACTGCTATACAGTGGATGAATTCCCCAATAACAGAATTAAACTGAAACTTCCTTCAAATTCATTGATGTATCATTCTGAAATGCAGTGTCTTTAAGCTGACGTTATTGTGAGTGTTATTTGAGATGTACTGTGAAATTCTGCAGTACTGCTCTTTGGGGTTGACTGAATATTGTAAAGCTGGTGATGTAATGTAGAAAAAAATCGCTCTTTGCTTAAGTGGCATGAAGAATGGAAAATCAGAGAAATACTTCATCAAAAAATATTTAAGAACGTAAAAATAGTTAGAAAGCACTTCAATGGTATTTTGAAGCTTTTCTAAACCTCTGTTTGTAGTTGGTCATTTAACTTGTAGCTGTCTAACAGAAATGTGATGGGTAGTTTGATCTGCACTTTCATATACCTCCCATGTTTGGATTTTGAATAAGCATGCTTTTTCAGTGCTTTAGAAGCTGACCCTTGAGGAACATTGAGTGTTTGTAATTTGGTTATTTCTACGGGTCTAAGCCAAGCGTTTACCTTCTGTAAAGGTACCGTCACAGGATTTTCACTCTCAAATCAAGTCTGCAACATAGGATGTAGCAGAATAGGAATTTCTAAACAATAATTAGCACAAAAAGGAAATTCAAGGTAAATAAGTAGTCAATTAACACCATAGTGTCACGTTCTCCCTTTTGAATGGTGGGAGGGATCAGATATTTCATTGATGCTTCAGGACTGGGAACACAATGAAAGAATGCCTCGAAAGAAGCAGTTCAACTAGGTAGTCCTTTTGAAAAGATGAATTGAATACATTGCTTTGACTTCTGTTTTTACAGGCCAAATGTTTTCATTTTCTGTTTCAGAAATTGCACTTAAGAAAGCTGGAAAAAGAGAACTACCGGTACCACTGTGAGCTTCCAAAAGGCAGAAGGGCAAACCTTATTGTTACCAATAGGTACTAAGTTCCGGAGGCTTGTTTCAATTTAGGCATCAGGCATCTGGCTAAGTCTGAAATGATAGCTGTTCTTTGCATATGCACTTTTCTTATTTGTTTTCTTATTGATTTCGTAGTTTGTTTTCTTTCTTCTATTCAAAATGTGAGGTTATGATTAGTGATATTGACAGTGCAGGAAGCTATTTTAATTCTAAGGTCAGTGACTATTTCATTCTGTTGGGGGAAATGCTTTTTTTCCGTTTCTGATGTTTGAAATTAGCTTGTGCAAAGTGTCTGCAGTCTAACTAATGTTTTAATAATGCATGTTTAGAAGCTTGTTAAGTAAAAAGTACTCTGAGTCAGATTTTCTTTAATTCAAATTAAAATGAATACTAAATCCATCGGACAGTATTTAGAATGTAAGAAATTGCTTGTCTTGGATGGTTTGAGAGCTCAAAACCTTCTAACTATGCTAAGACAAGATGATCCCATTGGTTATGATCTCTGCATCCTAGATGTTACTAGTTTTTGCCTTTTGCCCTGGGTGTATGAGGGAGACTTATCCATACCAAAACTCTGGGAGACAGCCAACCTGTATTTGTTTTATAACAACTAGTGCACTTCATGTTGTAGCATAACAAGATTTTTAAGATAGGTACTGACACATTTTTATGATAGCTGGTTTAGGTTTGGTTGTGTTTTTTTCTTTTTTGCAGCTTCAGTTAAAATATGTACTTCTGTTCTTAATCCAGTTGGTCACTATTATGCTTAATGCTTCTACCTTAATTCCATTTAGAACTGCCACTTTTTTTCTTTCTGCTAGATGACATTGGATATCTAAGGAGATGAAAGGGCAACTTGCTAGCAAATGTAAACTAGCAGTGGATCATCTGTCAGTCTAATTATGTACTTGTTTCACTATGTAGTCAGTATTCAGCTGGCTGACTGCTGGCATTCAGGAGCTGGTAAAAATTAAGTCATATCCCTCTATTATCCAGTGGCTGGTGATTTTGATTAATTTGCCTGTGCATCCCATATGATAACGTAGAACATCTGAGTCTTAAGGACAAAGTAATGGTCTTAGAGTATATATTAAGGAAATACAATTGAACTGCTACTGAATGGATACTTTTGATCCACATAGAAAATACATTCTGAAACATTTCTGTTCTCCATTTTGTTTTCTCATAAAGCTGTAATTTCTGGTCGAAATTGTGTATTGATATGTTTTTCCTTCTGAACAGGAGGGTTATATGTGTAAAAGAGGTGGAAATCTTAGGTCATTTAACAGCAGAGTGGGATTACTTATTTGAAGACTTTACGCGCTGTCCTACCTGTGAAGGAAGTGTTTTAAAACTAACTGTTTTGGTAAGAAAATCATGTGGTTTGTTGGTTTTTTTGTCTTTTTTTAAAATTTATTTTAAATTATTTATTATTCAACACTGCTTATTTACAGTTCCAAAGATGCTTTTAATTATCTAAGGACTCTTAACTCCTGGTTTTGGAGATAGGAGAAATTAATTCATATTTTTTGGAAGTATGGATGTGTTGGACAGAGAATGAACTGAAGTCTAAGCCGAAGCTGACACTCAAGCTATTTATGTCTCAGATTCTGTGTTCTTGTTTTGTGAGTCACCTGAACTTTATTTTTGTGCCCCTTTGCAACAGGATCAAGGGATGTTCCAAAGGAAGGACAACATACGCCATAGTTGTGAAAAGGCAATTCAACTTCGGGATGAAGCTACAGCAGTGGTATATTCTTTATTTTTCTGTTTTCTTTTGTCTTACGATGTTGTTGTACTTGCTGAAACTCCAAACATCTAAAAAATTGTGATGTTCACATTCCTAGGAACTGTTGACTATATTTTCTTGTAAAAATTGAGTTTGATCAGGAAAACAATGAGATAAGGCAGTTAAAAACATTCGAGGGTGTGTGCAAGAAGGAAGTTGAAGTAGCATTATTTTATACTTTGTACATTGGAACTTATTAAAGGAAAATAATTCAAATAATTGATAAGTTCATTGTAATCAGCATATATCTGAATTATGCTCCCTTCTCAGTATTTCAAGGTAATTGAATTAACCCAATAAGTGTACCTCTGTGTGAAAAGAATTACTTATTCCCTGCTCCTAATGCTCTGCTGGTTTTCTACCATTTATTTTCTGATGGTTGCTCATGTTGATGCTGGAGAGGCTGATTTGGGGGAGTTTTTATTTGGTATGTTCTTGGGTCTTGTAGCTGACTTGCACAGGCTAAGCTAACAATTTGCATCAGTTCCATGATTCCTCAACAGTAGAAAAATTGACCTGGGTAACTATTTGCCTTAATGTAGTTTTGTAGCAAATTATGAGAGGAAGAATTCTTCCCAGTATCGAAAGTGGATTCAGTTAAATCCACTGCAACTTGTATGCACAATTAAAATGGCACCTCGAGTAAATAGCAAGTCACAATTGGAATATAACCAAATATAATGTGAAATTGATGAAGACCATCAAAAAGATGGGGATTAGACAGGGAAGGAAGACTGCAATCATGTAACAGCACTTTTTTACATAGTGTCTGTTACTATTTTGCTGACTCTTACCTGAAGAAAAAGTGTTTTTCAGTGTTATTTTGTGGCATACATTCCAAGTAATGCTTTAGGTTGACAAGTGAAGATCATTTTGATTTTATCTCTGGCAATGCCAGAGAAATACTTTCCTGTTTCATTCTCTTTTTTGGGTTACTACTTAATTACTGTTCCTTTGCTCTTATTTCTACTGCTATGTGTATATCGAAAATAAATTTCTCTGTTCTGTTTACCTTTTGTGAATTTCAATTGCTCAGTTTTATTGGTAATACTCCACAATTTGCATCTCCCTTTGTATGGATTACACATGTAGCATTCTGCTGATTTGATACGATACCACAAAAGAAAGTGTACTTCTCAAACAGTAAGATTTTGGGTTTCAGGTTTGCCTCTTTTTAGTCATCTGAATCTTTCCCGAATTTCTGTAAGTTACCAACAATCCATAAATTCTTGAAATGCTTCAGTGACATTAATGCTTGTTTTCTGTCCACCTAGTTTAAATTACTCTCTCTCTTTATATTCTTGGTAGAAGTTAGTTAGACTTAATGAAATCATGAGCAAAAGCACACTCGCAAGCATTTCAAACACTTCAGCTTTCACTGAATGCTGGAATTACTTATGTAAAATAAGGTGGGCCATCCAATCTACTCCAGTACTTAACGCACACAAGCCATGCTTCATGGTATATAGGTTAGAATGTTGAATTTTTGGTAGTATATCACAGAAAGAAACTGCAGGCTAACTTAAATTTCTTTCTTTCAATATGTTCTTTACAGAGCGTTTGTGTTGCCATTGAGGAAGCATGGGCAACAAGAAAACAACAAAAGCTGGTGATACAAGCATCGCTGCGGTTGAAGAAACCACAAATGCTGTCTTGATAATAACAGGATCTGTTCGGTTTGACTTTGACATATGATCTTATCACTAAAATTGATTAGAAGAAACATAGAAACGTTTTGCTGAAACTACAGATAAAATAACTGAGATCTTCCTTTGATGTTAATTGTCATAAACACTTTCTTTTGAAAAGCTGTGTTTTGCCAAAGCTATGGATTTTGTTACTTTGAAATAAGCATCTAAAATTTACAACTTGTTATAAAAGGTTTTCTTACTCTGAAATGTCCTTTTTCTGCTTTTTTTTTTTTTGTTGTTAATAGCTTCTTTAAAATAAATGGTTATCTAATTCATGCTCTAAGATTCTGGTTTACAAGCAGATTGTGGTAATCGTGCACTTTGCAAACTAAAGTACTTACAAGTAAGTAATTGAAACTAGTTAAAAACTTAAAATTAGGTAACATTCTGTTAAAGAAAGAAGTATAGACAATTCAGCTACTATAATTTAATCTATCTGTTTAGTTTCCCGGAAGTGCTGTGCTGGATGAACATAAAAATGAGTGTGTAATGAATGAAATAGACTGCTGCTGCATAGAAATATTTACTTTAGAATGTTGTCATTTATATGGCAAATATAAATCTGCACTTTAAAAATGGAAAAATACTATTTACCTGTCATGAGAATGTATATGTTTTTATTATACCACTGTAGATTAAAGACTTCTCCAGGAGGAACAGTATAGTTGTTAGAAAACTTTGTATGCCAAACACATAAATCAAAGTAATTTGTTTTTGGTATTTCAGTGTATAGCTATTTCACTGCAAGGGTACCATCTAAGTCACTTCTCTGTATTACTTTCTGTTGCAGTTTCTCAAGGACTGTTAGGATACAGTTCAGTAAGATACTTAAGCATATTCAGAGCATAATTCTTAATGGGATGGATACTACAGACACTATTGAGACAAGTTGTGTTCTTAACACAAGACATACACAAGGTAACTGTCTGTGTCAGGGACTATATGAGCAAAGGGGTTTTAGTTCAGTGAACTTAGTTTATTAAGTGCTCTTGCTCAAGTGCCCTTACATGTACTTACTCTTAAAAATGTGTTATTTCCATCATATTTCACTTAGAAGTCATCAATGAATGATTTGTTTTTTTCTCTTTTTACTTTATTACTATATCATTTTGTACTAGATAGGAACTCATAATAAAAATGGCAATATTCTTGCATAGATTATTCTGTAAATGGAGCAATTGTGAGAGTTAGGCCTGGGTTGTTGACCTTTCCTAATATTTAAGGACTGGTGGATTCTATAAATATGTTCTGAGCTCACAGCTATGATCTCATGAAAATTAGAAAGCTGAAGAACATTGATCCAATTGAAGATAGTTGAACCTAATTAAGATAGTTGAATCCAATTTACTATGAGAGGGGAAGAAATGCGGTATGACACTTGTTGTTGATTCTGTGGTGACACCTATTTTCTACGCTCTACTTAAACATTGATGAAATCAGCTACCTAAGTTGTATGTATTTCAAGCATTGTTTAAATGATATTATATAGGGAGACAATAAATTTTTATATGCAATTATTTGTGCCATGATTTTAATGACGTTGTTTCAGAAGTGCATTATATGTTGCTGGTTTGCTGCTTGTCCCTGATACCATCTGGAAAAAAAGATATTGGACTTCAGTGTACAGCACGAGAGTTATCTGGAGCCCTGTGTTTCCTTGGGTTTGATGTCTGGGATATAAGAAGTGATTCAGATGTGTATCATAGAATGGCTTAGGTTGGAAGGGACCTTAAAGATTGTCTATTTCCAAACCTTCCTGCGGTGGGGTTGCCACCCACTAGATCAGGCTGCCCAGAGTCCCATCTGATCTTACCTTGAATGCCTCCAGGGATGGGGCATGGACAGTGTCTCTGGAAAACTCATTCCAGCGCCTCATCACCAGCCTTCTGAGTAAAGAATTTCTTCCTAACTTCTAACCTGAATTTCCATTCTTCTAGTTTAAAGCCGTTCCTGGTAACCCATCTGCCTGTAAGACCATGTATAAGTTGGGTCTCCTCAAGTACTGAAGACTGCGATGAAGTCTCCCCAGAGCCTTCTCTTTTACTAGCTAAACAAGCCCAGAACTGTACTGTGCTGTCTTTTAATCTTAGCTGAAAACAGATTACAATTTGCGTGTTTTAGTCCGTGTTTAGAAGTTACTATGTGCCTTTTTTGGGGTGGAGAATATGAGCTTAAAACAGTCCTGATGACATGTTTCTGGCTCCAGACTTCTGCTTGCTTCAGTTCTGTACTTCCTCATTTTTATTTGTAAACCTTCTGGCTTTGAATTCTCAACAGTAGATACTTTTTCTCACTGTGTGATTAGATACTGGGAAAGAGCTTCCTATTTAAAGTAGTCTGAAGAAGCAGTAGGGTTTTAAAGAGAACAACTTCTGAAGTGCACGTCAGGTTGTTAGCTAAGTTTGAGCTGTAGATGTCAGTAGGAATTGCAACTGAAGTAATGAATGACCTTCTGTACCACTTAGGTCAAGCACTCTAGAAAACGTGAGAGAGATCACTTGCTAAGGAGTTACATTTCCTGCTTAAATTAATATGGATATTTGGGTATAACAGATTTTTAATGCTTCTCTTGTACTTTCTTCAGTCTTCTATTTTACTATGCATCCTTCCCTGTTTTGCCTTGTTTTTTTGTTTTTTGTTTTTTTGTCTATTTTATGGCTGTAATCTCTCCAACTGCAAATGCTCTTGGCTGTACCTAGTTTTTGCTGTCTGAGTTTGGCAGCTTTTTTGACCTGTTACATGTCTGTCCTTTTTCTTAAATTTCACATCCTGTTGACTTGCTGGCTGAGAGCATTAGGAATGAAGAGTGTGTCTTGACTTGTTCCTAAGTATATGCATACTGTAAGAACAACAGCTGAATTAAAGGCTGTTTGGATGATCTGTAAGAAGGAGGTATTGCTGGGGTGGAATACTTTTTTGGTGAATCTTTAGTGAGGAATTTCAATGAAGTGCTGCAATGTAAAGTGAGGTTTATCAAAGATTTGAGCAAGTTCTTGCAGTGTAGCAACAAAGTGATTTCCATCCGGTGTGGATATTATGCTGTTATGAACTCTAGTTTCAGTGCTGCTGAGTACATGAGTTAGCCAAACTGCCCAGAGAATCTTAGGCCTTTCATTACAGTGAGCTCCCAGTTTTTTTGCTCTCTCTAAAAACAAATTTTTACTGAATACAAGATATGGAATACTAGATTTATTAGAATACCAAGCATTTAAGAAGAAATTGATCCTTGCTTTGTACAGGCTGGTACTGCAGATTTTTAGTTATTGATTGATGTAGGGACAGCTTTAGTTTTTCACTGTTTTTCTGTCAAATCTGTAGAGTAGTAAGTTCAGTTTGTATTTTTTTTCCTCTTAAAAGAGCACAGTATTCATTAACTATGCTACTGCAAGTGATAATGATGTTTTTCTCTTCAGAATTAGAGTAAACCAACCAGTTAAAACTGCTTAAGTGAATGTAAATAACATCAAACAAATTTAAAAAGGAAAAAGCAGCCCTATGTTGCTCTCTTAAAAGCATTCAGTCTGTAAAATCTTCATCCCTGGGGATACTTGCATCCTCACTGGACGTGGTCCTGCATAACCTGCTCCAGCCAACCATGTTTGGACTGCATCATCTTCAGGCATCTTCCACCTTCAGCTGTTCTGTGTCACTAAAAAATCTGAAATATATTTAGAGAAGGAAAAGTAAACAGAAGATGTGATGGTATTTTTCTTGGGTTAACTTAAACCTATGAGAACTTCCACCTCACCATTTAACCATTTTCTGAACACTTGCAGAGTCTAGAAGAATGATTACTATGGACTCTGAATAGAGTGTGTCTTACTAATAAGAGGTTAAATATAGTCTTTTAGAGGATTGCTTGCCAAGTTGAGGAAGGGTTATGTGTAAATCAAGAAATTCAGCTTACCCATCCAGATAACAGTACTTTTATTTCATCATTGGCAGTTAATGCATTTGTTATAACAGAGTATCATAGTGATTACAGTAGATACTTTCTAATGTTTCTCTTTCATTAAGAGAAAACAGTGAAACCTTTTTGAAACTAGCTAGTGTTTGTTTGACAAAATAATTCTTTCAACAGATTAAAAAGTCACTTTTACTCAAACCTGAGTGTGAAGATTTAAGTTAAAATATGTATCAGTGGACTGACTGCTTCGAGGGACATGATGGTATAAGAAAGAAGTGGAGGGATTTAGAATCACTGCATACAACTTCAGATTCCATCTGAAAAACCCAGGCTTTAGTTTCATTGAAGTTTCCTGGATGAAGGTATGTTTTTGAGAGGGAGGGCAGTTAGCAGTTAAGTGTATAATACCACACAGTATATGAAGAGCAGATGGAAGAAAAGGAGACAAAGACACAAAAGAAAATGCATTCAAAATTTGTTAGTATTTTTCAGTTTATTGATGCTTCCTAATGCAAGTCCATTCTTTGAATTATGGACCTCATTTGTGTAGTCACTAAGTAACAGTGATGCAAATATGCAGATCTCTATGCTTCAGCAGTTATTACCTATTCTGAAATTTACTCATTTTCTGGAGTTTTCTAGATGTTTGTTAGCAACTTAGAAGGTAGCTTACTCAATTTACCTGATTGAAGGAAATGAGAAAAGGATATTTCTGCTTTTAAAATGATTTTATATTTTTTATCATCTGTTTTGCAGTGAGAATATTCAGTGTCTATCTTGATCTATTCAGATAGCATTTGGGAAAGAACGAACCCTTCTGTAGTATAGGCGTGGTAGCTGGGAGCAAAAGAAAGTGATACATCTATAGCATGGCTCATTCTTCAGAGGTAGGATATTTGTAAAAACTAATACAGTATATTGAGAACCTGCTACAAATTCACATCAGTAATGAAAAATATCTCTTCTAGTTATGAAGAGTAAGTGCAGTACTTGAAAGCGATAACTGTATTGAATTGTAACAAGGAAAAGAAATTTGTTTGGATTTCAGTCAGGGAGGCATTAACTCCCACACGTGTATGGCTGTCAGCAAATGGAGCACTAAAAATCCTCTGTTTTGATAACGTGACAACAGACAAGTTGCAGTGTTCATCTTGAATGTACTCATGGTGTTTGTATACTTCTTTGTTGATTATAGGCTAGCATAGTAAGGGTGTAAAATTCTATCCAAAACAAAGATCTGGAGAATAGGGAAGATGGCTATGCACTGTACAAGGGCTGCTCCAAAAGTAGTGCCTCCTATTTTATTCTTTTGACCCACAATGTCAGAGGCAGATGTTGGTGGGAAGGCAGTCGAGATTGAACCTACCCAACAATATTCTGTTACAGTTTGTTGCCACGTGACAGATGGCAGCAGAGGGGCACTCTTACCATATCTGATGTGGACATGTGGGTGAATCAACGGTGTGGGATTAAATTCCTCCATGTGGAAAAAATTGCATCCGCTGACATTTACTGATGCTGAATGTAAGTTTAGCACCTGTGGCCTACTTCCAGAGATTTGAAACTTTTCTCCATGAAGTATGATAAATTCCATACGTATGTTTATATCAGTAGGATTTCATGGGGACAGTCTTGAAGAAACAGATACCTCTTAGATTTGAACCCCAATCAATTAAATTCCTTTCGTGCCAGAAATTCTTCAGACTTTTAACAGGTCATAGCAACTTTGAATTATTGATAACAGATGCTAATAAGCATCAAAAGAGAAGACATTCTCCAAATTTTTGCAGATTTTTAATAAATAAAAGAAAATATACTACTTCAAAAGTATTTGCAATTCACTCAGAGTAGATTTAAGATTGACGTCCTGTAGTATAGCAAAATCCATGTGAAATTTCATAAATGTGTTGCAAATGATGAAATACCACAATAAATTGTTGTTTCAGTAATTATCCACAAGGTGGGGGAATGGATCTTTGTGTTCTGCTGCTGTTGTCTTTTAGCTTTCTTGCCCACACTCCTCCCATCTGGATACTGTGCTGTTCAAATCCCCTTGTCAATATGTTCAATACAGAGCATGGAGCTGTATGTCAGAGGCTGTCAGAAAATTTTACCAACTGTAGATCTAAGCCTGAAGTTTATAGAAGTACTGGGAAAAAAGAATATAAGGATCATTCATATATGAATTCTTACTTGCAAATGCAATGTTTGTTGTAGAATTGGTGGTGATTTCCCTGTGTAAGAATTTCTTTAGAGGCTAGTATTTTTGAGTAAAACCTTTGTGTAGTTTTTATTCAAGTGCTCATTCTGCTAATGCTACTGTTGAATTGCAGAAATTCATCTGAAGATGGCTGTATAACAGACTGTCATATAAGGTATGTACTGCTTTTCTTCTGTGTATCTAATAAATTCAGAGAGATCAAAGGCAGCCCAAGAAGCCATCTCAAAACTGCTTAACAGGATTTGATTTTTCTTTGCATGGTTCATCTAAAGCTGAATCTAGCTTTCCTAAATAGAAGAGCTTGTACTATAATAGATACCATACCTATTTCAAATAGTGCTTAAAAACTGTCTGAGACTGGCTAATAGTTGCAAACAGGGAAAACTCAAAAGTAAGTAGTACTATTCTGTATTTGGGTCATTATCACCTCCTCTTATTATAGGTGGCCAATGTGAGCTACTGCTCCAGAAAGCCAGTCTTCACTCAACTTCTGTAGTTCAGCTACAGGAGCCATTCTCATACTTGTGAGCTTCCAGGAGAGTGCAGAATAGCATTTATGTTCATCTGCCGCATGCAAGAAGTGAAGATCTATTAGCCTGTTTGCTCTTTCTCTGTCTGTATTGTTGGTTGCAAGTCCTTTTCTTTGTCTTCTTTTAGGGCCCTTTCCTATTGCTACTTTCTAGAGTTTCCCCTGCTACTTCTACAGAACAACGTACCCAAAACAGGAAATAGGTAAGGCTATCTAAGTGTTCAAAAATAGTAATTAGGCCATATAGTTTTTCTGATTAAAAAAAAATAAATGAGGGAAAATGTTGTTGGAATGGCATATGCATGAAAGTTGATGTCTAAATGTTTAAAATCGACATTTTAAAACATTATTTCTAGTATCTTGAGATGTAAAGCTTTCTCTGTTTCTGAGGCTACATGGCTTCTCAGTTCCTCCTGCCATCTCTCTATTTTCAAATCCTGCAGCACCTGGGGCTTGCAGGCAGCTATTTCTGTTACAGACAGGAGCTGAGATCTGAGGAGAGAAAAAGAAAGAGGCAAGGTGCTTGATTACTTCCAGCAGATGTAGTAAGATCGCTGCCTTGCTCCTCTTCTAGTCTCTGCCCTGCTAGTCTAATACATGAGAAGACAAGAACTTAATTTTTTTTTGTGGCCCTTCTATTGTATCCTGTGTAGCTAGCAAGCAACACATGATTTTATTTGTTTTCCCCTTTTAATTCTAGGAGCTAATGGTTCCCCCTTTCTAAAGGGATACTTTGTGGGGTTTCGTTTTCACTTGAAGGGCAGACTGAGCTGGCTGAGAGGACATTTCAGATGGCCTCTCTTCTTCCAAATGGGGAAAAAAGTGGTAACCTGGAAGAGTCAAGAAACTTGAGAATTGTGTTCTGACTCTAGCTTCATTCTTATAATGCTTATATTTGACTTATAAGATGTTCAAAAATTCTCTTAGACCGAGATAATATTAATTTCTGTCATAGATAAGAGCATGTGAGGACTTTTTCAATTTTTCTCTATGAATGTCTCATAATGCATCCTTTCTCTAATAGTTGTTTCTTTTGTATTTACACACTTGCAATTTTAAATATATATATTCTATGTATATTTAAGTACATTTTTTGATGCTGCACGTTATGTGTTTGAGTCTTTGTTTTTGAAAAACAGAAGGTAAATTCTTTGGAAGTTTATGCATATAGTATATAGAAGTACTCATAGGCCTACTCATTTGATTCTTGTTTGTTTGCATGAGCACTAAACTTCTTTTCCAGAGCTAGCCCTCTATGTGTTCCCTGCCCTCTTACAATGTCATAGAACCCTCCCTAATATAAGTATTTAGCAATCTGATAGGCCTGGAAAGTGCGTGATGTAGGTGAGAGCATGTTTAGAGCTGTGTCTGCAAGTAATAAGCATTAAACAGTATGGCTAAAGTAGTATTAAAATTAGATGGGTAATCTTACCAGTGCTCATAAGGAGGTACTGATATTTATCATGGGCCTACTTTACTATTTGTTTCAATCGTTCTACATGACACGTGAAGCAAGTTTGACAATATAAAGATTTTATAAGCAACATTAGTTTGTGGAGTTCGAGTATAGTCTAAGGCACTCATTCCTGGTTGTTTCAGTTGAGTAAATCCCATTGTTGGAGGAACCAAATGCTACATCAAATCAGGAAACTCAAGCAGCTGAGGCAACACCTGCAAAACCCTTCAGTGGTTGGACAAAGCAGTTGGAATGAGTAGCAATATTGCTACTAAATGATTTGTGTAATTGAACCATAGGCTTGGCCTATGTAACTCTTAATTGTTGTGCCTGTACTTTTCTAATGCGTTGTATGTACATCAGTGTGAGATCTTGTACTTTTTAAAGGTAAATTCTGTTTTCAAGCATGAGATATACAAAATTTTAACAATTCTTCTACATCTGTTGAGGAAACAAATCAGTAATCCATATAGTATGGCGTTTCAGTTGTTGCGGTGCAGTAGTTAAGTCAACAACACATCAGCTTCCCTCCTTTATTTTGATTTGTTGCAGCAATCATAGCAGCTGTGCACCAGATGATTGTTTTTCTGTTTTGTCTCACCAAATAGAAGGCGGACGTACATTTCTCACCTTAAAAAGAGCTGTTCTAAATTGATGTAATATACCAGGATGTGTCCAGGGGATATTAGTATGCTTGATACGGCCTTCATGTGATGGATCAGAGGACATCTATGTAAGATATTTGTCCATTAGCCATTTTTCAGCTTGTTGGAATCTGTAGTGAACGTGGATGTTACTATTTCACATACACACTGTAAATTCAAATGAGCAGTATGGTTTAATGCTCAGAAGAAACTGAGGTGCTACCAATTGTCTTAACAACTTTGAGCTCAAACATACAACGGGAGAGTGGAAAAGACACATATGAAATATTACTCAGTCTATATTAATTGCTGTGATGTCAACACCTAAATACAAACAACAAAATTAACCAACATGGATTAGGTCTAAAAAAGTTGCATCCCACTTGTCCTCTGATGGATTAATTTTCTGCTAGATTAGCAATCAGCTGAGTAACTGAGGGGAGGGGAAGTAAAAGGGGGAGAGAAGGGAATAGATGTTCCCTTTTGATGGTGGGAAATTGTTAGGTTGGATTACCTTCATCCTAAAAGTCACTGGAACTGAAGAACTGAAATTTCTGCATGGACATTATGCTCTGGAAGGTAGATTATACTGTGGTCTGGTAAGAGGTGTGAAAGTGATGGTCATTTTACAGATATCTTTGATACTTCATGAGCCACTGATGAAATTCAGCTTTCTTTTCGCAGCTGGTTCACAAAGGCATTTGCTGCTCACTGAGAAGGGGGGAGCAGTTCTGGATGTTGCATGTGGTTACTAATGCTGCCCCAAACTTGTAGTGAATCTTACAGCAGATTTTGTTTCTGAGTGCTTTTTACAGCCTCACCCCTAAAGGATTCAGTTTCCCATATGGCAAATATGATTACAGTGCTTTTTGTAACTGACTTGTATTTGATGTTTAAAATTGTCAAGTAATCAAATATAATTATGTTAATTCCGTTAACTCAAGTTAAATCTCTGCTCAAGTGATTTTGTGCATCGACAGTGCAAGTATGGCAAAAGAAAATGTGATAGATATTTGGAGATCCTTTGTTTTATATACATCAAAAAATATTAATCCCTTTACACAGACTCATCTTGGCCAATGCTTGTAAACCAAATCATTACAGATATTCTGTTGTTATACTTTGCCTTTCCCTTCTTTAATGAATACTTGGAGAGATCCTGAGGGTAATGGAAAATAAAACAATACTTACTGGATGTTATTTTAGTTAAAGTATATGGATTGATTGAAATTTTGGTTCTACCAGATTGTGTCAGATTTGGAACTATTTTACTTTCTTTTTACAAGAAATGGATTTTAAGACAGACTAATAATCTGCTATCCAGATCTCCTGCCCTTGTTTGGTGAGATCTAGACCCCTATTGTGGCAGCACAAAAATCCTTTGTGTTTTTGAGTGTTTTCAGTCCTACTGGAAACACATGAGGTAGAGCACTGATCCTCCCACCTTCCAGGTAACAGTATTTTGGTGAAACTTCTGTCTTCTAAAGTCTCCAAAAAGTAGTGCTTTTGTCTTAACAGGTGATTGAGAAAAAAGTTATGAATCTAAGCTGTATTTCAGAATCAACTCAGTCATGTTATGACATCACACTAAGCCTTAGGGGAAAAAAAAACAACACCCAAAACTTACTGAGTACCTTTGTCTTCTCATGATGAGGATGAGGAGGACAAGACAACGCTGACTCATCTCGAGATATCAGTATTCTAGAAGAGTTGGAGCTATATTTCTCCTGTGTGGGTGTTTCAGTGTTTGAACTGGCCATCTGTGGGGACAGTAAAGCACTTAACCTTTTTCTTCTTTGTGAGTTATTTCTGTAAAAGTCAGAGAAATAAACCAGGGTTCTAATCTACAGAGGAAATTCAGATGGTTAGCCACTCCATTTTACAGAAGATATGATGCTTATCTGGATAATTTACCTAATAACTTCAGAAAGATTGTTAGTACAAGCAGTGAATACTTTTAGATGATAATTAAATACAGCAATAGTGCTTACTCCAAATGTTCTGAAGCCTGCATTAATTTAGTTAAAATCGTAGCTCTAGGATAATAGGTAAGCTCCTTGAATATCCCAGAATTAAAAATAGATTTTTTAATATAAATATGATTAAAATACATAAAAAAGCAGAATATTAACAAGCAAAAATTAGCCTATTTGTGAGTTGTACTTCTTTCTATCTTCATTGTTGTCAGTTCTGAATCAGTGAGCTTTGGTTATGATACCAGTAACGTGACTTAACTTGCTGATATTCACTAAGGCATTTCTTTCAAATATACTACAAGAAAACTGCCTTTTTCTCTGATTAGGCATAGATTTCCCAAGGCTATTATTTGTAGTCAGAAATAAAGCCTATAGTATTTTTCTGGTGTAGGGTCTCTACAGATTCTTGTTCATTAGTGAGTTGTCGTGATGTTTATAAGTTCAGTATCTTGAACAACCAGTGGTTGACTTGAGTTCAAAAGTGTTCATGGAAGACCTTCAATTACAAGCCTTCCTGCTTTTGACAGTTCAGTATCTATCTCAATTGACTCCCTTTTTTCCAGAGAGACAGTGATTTAAGATTCACCCTACACATAAAACCAATGATCGATGGCAGCTGTCAGTTGCCATTGTTTGTTTGTCCAATTCAGTTAGATGAGCAGCCAAGTCGGAACAATTAGTCCCCGGCTCAGTTCTCCTTTGGGCTGTAGCTAATTTTGTACAGTGTTTATTTTTCTGGATGACCATGTAGAAAGGTATGTTTTTGACTGTTTGGAATCTGGGACGAATGAAGCTGTGGTAAAAAGTTGTACTACATTGCAAGAAGCAAAAGCTTTTCTTGTTCAAAATGAGCCTGGGGGAGGGGCAGTACTACTAATTATATCTGATGATAAAGTTACTTTAAAAATGAATTTCTCTTCTGATGGTGTTAAATTCCTGCACACAAGATCCTCATATTCTATTTATTTTCTATTCTAAAACACAATGTCTTGGCTGTGGCTCATTTAATGAAATCCAGAAACGTTGAGAAGGCACACAGTTGTCTTCCCTTCTGGTCTGTCCTTTTTTAAAATGCTAAGTAGTTATTTTTGCCATAGTTATTCTGATGAGAAAATACATGTTTCAAAATGTAAATTCTATGTATTTGAAGAAAGTAACTGAGCAGAGGAACAAACACCTAGTTTTATGTAAATGGATGAATTTTTGAGATCAAGTCTTCCTTGAGACTTCTAAAAACTTG